GTCTGAGTGTAATATTTCAAATGTTAAGAGATTTGAGTGATTAAGTGACTAATCTCAGGAGTGTAAGTATAATTCTCTCTTTAATCTAATATATATATATATATTTAGGGGAGAAGAATTTGAATCTTTGACCTCAAAAAAACAAAATTTTTATAAAACAAGAAATAACACCGAACCAAAAATCCATTAATAATTTTTAATCTAATAGAAACACCCCTTTTGTACTTCGCTTTCTTCTTAGTCTTCTTCGTCTTGAAGCTCACCTGCACCAGTTTCATCCTTCTAAATCCTATGTTATTTGGTAAAGCGGTCTTAATCATGTGTGAATTGCATGATAATAATTGCAATTTTTTTAATATATATATATACATAAACTCGGATCTGCCTCTTTTTTAATGTTCTTACAATTTTTTGCATTGATTTTTTATTTTCTTCCAAACTTAATGTGTTATAGGGAAAATTAAACACAAACCCCTTGAAGTTTCCAAACATTTAAAATATTACACACAAACTCCCTAAAATTTGTACGCATATAATATTTGTTAGTAAAGTACACCCAGACTCCTGAAATTTGAAATGTGTAATATTTAGTATCCTCAAATTTAAAATATTACATAGGAAAAAAATACTCCAATTAAAGATTAAATATCAAAATAAAATTTTAATTTTTTCTTTAAAAAATCATAATTAATACTATTGATGGTAAAATTTTGAGGACTTTTACATTAGTTTGTTGGGCTTCGTTCACTTAAAAAAGAAGTCAAAAACTGGAGGGATACTCTAGGGCTCAACTCTCCAATGCCTAAACTAGTAAGCGACTCAAATGTATGAACTGCATTTAGAAGTTATGAGTGGAATACTTGAAACATCAATTAAGTTCTATTTATAGGAGTTTTGTTAGTTTAAGTCCTTATCTTTATATGCTGATTTGATGTTATCAGTGCAGTTATATTTAGTTTATTCATGATATGTAGAATCATATTCAAATTAGAACTCTTGACAGGATGAGTTAAATTTGAACTAAATAAACTTTTCACCTTTGGCCAATTTTTTCATCATTAAGTATGAACATATAAATTAAGTCTAATCAACACAGTTTATATATTCCATTAAATCACCCATTGACATAAAACTAAACAAAAGTTTAATTTTTTTGATGAAAAAATAGCAATCAGTATAAATATATCAAATAATTCAATTTAACTCTCATTTGTATATAATTATATTGTTTATTTGAATAAAACTAAATTACAATAAACGCAATATCTTCTATTTTTAATTGGAATAGTTTGGTCGTTTGCAGATTACGTAATTAATAAAGGGTTTAAGTATAATATTTAAAACTTGAGAGATCTGAGTGTTACACGCCTACAAACTTCATGAGGTTTATGTATAATTTAATAATAAATATATTAACAAACATTGACAGAATGGACCTAAGTGTTACGCGTGTATAAATTTCAGGGAGTCTGTGTGTAATATTTCAAATGTCAAAAAATCCAAGTAATTAAATAACAAACTTTAAGAAGTTTAGATGTAATTTTTCCTAACTTATATTATCATGTATATCATTATTGTTAGAGAGATATTAGATTGTACACTAATGTTCAACCAAACCTGGTAGTCTTTTAGGTCATGTAATTTAGATAGAGACATGGGCTATGTGAATAAAACAATTATATCCCTTGGCCCTTGATATTAAATGTGTTTGTCCTAAAGGCAGTTGAGTCAAATGGCAAGTGTGGGCCCCTTAAAAAAAGACTATTCTATTTTGCTGTTTTTGCCTTTTGTTTTGTTGGTATTAACAAATATATAAATAAATGTATTATCCTTCGGCGGCAATTTTATCCGTTGTGCTATCTATTTGTCACACACTCCTCAGCATTCACTAATTGCAATTAAGAAAATGAATTATGTACCTACCTAATTGAAGAATCCATGTTATGTTTTTATTTACGAAGTGGGTGGGTGGGTCTAATTGATCAATCTGATTATAATCCAAATTCTTTGAGGCTAAATTATTACATTATAATATATTAGTTTGGTGTCAAATTGTATCAAGAATTCTCAATCCTATCTCAAGTGGATGACATATAGTTAAATGTAAATTATTACATCTCGGTAAGAGTGGCAAAATATGATCGGATCTATTAACGTAACATGAATACAATATAAAAATATAGGGTTTGAGTTTTTTTTAAGTCATCCCTTTCAAAAACAAGAGTATCTGACATGATTGAATGAAATCAATCCAAAAACACAACGCTTGCATATATCGATTATATAAAATTCATATATGATACAAAATTCAATATGACACGATTCGTTAAACACGAATTAACAAGCAAATCAGATATGGGTAAAAATGTTTTTTTGACAAGAATCAGCTAAAATCTGACACAATTGATAGGCCTAGATCTCAAATCTAACAATCATCTTTAAATTCATATTTTATGTGTTACAGTAATTTCACTAATTTGAAAAAATGTATTAAACACAGAAAATAAAAAAGATGAATTAAGAAAAGAGTGCCGGTGGCGCATGCACCACGCGGCATAATATTTTAATTTTACATATTATTATTATATTTTTGGGTTCACATCAATCACAATGCTCTCGTATTTTATTAAGTGGGACAATGTGTCTCTCTACCCTTTTTTATAATCCAAATATGCTAAAATGGATGATTAGATTCTTTTGTTCTGTCTTATTTTAATTTTTCAAGTTTAAGTACATAAAAATGTTATGCTTTGCAATTCTCAATCTGATCCACTAACGCAAATCGATATAAATATAGTTTTAGAAGATTATTCGAATTACAACAGGCTTAATAATTAGCCACGTCACGTATAATAAGTGGTCCGACCCTAAGTGCAGCATTATACACGGCATTTTGTCACACCAAAATTTGATATTCTCAAGACTTATTTCTGCTGATAATAGAGCTATTGATTTATGCTTATTTTTTTGAAAAGTGGTTTATTTTTAAATTATATTTATACATTAAATATTTACTACAACTAGTTTTATAGGAGAATTTTAATATTTCGTTTATTTTAGAATATATCATTTGTTAGAATTTTAAAATTTGTTAATATTTGAACTTCATAATAGTGTAACAAAAATAATATTTAGTAGTTTTGTGCATGTGGTAACAATTTCAAAAATTGAGATAGACTATTTTGAATGAAATTATATAAAACTATACGTTTGATAAAATGTAATAGTACAATATTTTGTGTAAATAACTTGTTACACTGTTATTGTTACACTATTACACTATTCGAATATTAAATTAATTTAAAAATAAAACTATTTTCTAAAAAAAAAACGCATGAATAAATGTGCATTAAATATAATTTAAAAACAAAATCTCTTTCTAAAAAAAATATGCATGTATATATATATATATATATACAACATGTATGTATATATATATATATATATATATATAAATCAAGGTGCATTTAATATAATTTGAAAACAAAATCATTTTTCAAAAAAAAATTCACATGAATCAAGGGAGGACATACAAATATGAAATATTAAAGTTCTCGCATAAAACTAAGAGATATTTGATGCATCACTTTCCAAAAAAAAAATACGCATATATCAATAGAGAACAAAAATATCACAAAAAAATCTGTAAAATTTAAATAATGTATTTAGATACAAATAAGTATCAAAATTAATGACTTAATTACCCAACATTTTATTCTGTGTATTTTTTTACAATTAAATCTAATTTGGTGTGTCCATTCCCTTTCAATTTCTCCTAAAAATTATAAAGACTGGCCCAGCCCAGTGTTTAGTGATGGGCTCAGAAGAAAATGGGCTTAATTAATGGATCTCAGAACTGTTGAACATTTATTTTCTGTAACAAGTTAATGGGCCAACCTTTCGGCATTAGAACTTTTGTCTAAGTTAAAATGTGAAATGATGCCCTTCCCTAATTTTTGACATAAATGGAACTAAAATCAAAACAAAAAACCCGTCAGGATAATTCGGATGATACTATTTCATGGGATTCTCCTTGAAAGTTATACTCCGATTAAGCCAATACTCGTGATTTGAGAAATATTGTATGTGTGTGTTATTGATTAAAAAATGCATTGTTGGCATCATTATCGATTTAAATAAAAATAATACTAAGAAATATGTTAGTCTTCATTATTCTTGCGTCAACATCCAATTCAAACTCGAGCATAATAAGCCCGAAATGATTAATACCCTTGCTTTTGAACCTTGATCTGCCATGTATTAAAAGAAAATTATTCTTGCATAAGAACGTCCATAATCCAATTGATGATGACAGATTTGGATCCTTGGGTTTATGAATTGAATCAAGTTCAAACATCCGCCATTTAATTTATTCAATCCTACTAATGGAAATTAGTAGATGGAGTTGAGAGATCAAATTTGACATAAACTCAAATTATAGAACCCCCAACTCTAATTAAAATCAATCTCAATTTTAGATTTGTTTTTGCTTTTATAAAGGGAGGAGGAGAGAAGCGACTAGTGGATAACCCCTTGCACGTGAACATGAGGGCTTCCTTACTGTAGAATACAGGATTTGAGCCGTAGCTACTAATCCAAAAGAACAACTCATCACCACGGTATCACTAAAATCAAATAGCAAACTGTTGCAAAAGCATTAACATATTTGTCACATTCTTTATATGAATTCTTTNTATAAAGGGAGGAGGAGAGAAGCGACTAGTGGATAACCCCTTGCACGTGAACATGAAGGGTTTCCTTACTGTAGAATACAGGGTTTGAGCCGTAGCTACTAATCCAAAAGAGCAACTCATCACCACAGTATCACTAAAATCAAATAGCAAATTGTTGCAAAAGCATTAACATATTTGTCACATTCTTTATATGAATTCTTTACAAACTTAAGTTTTATGCACAATTAATCCCATCCAGAGTATGGGATAGGAAGCACCACATCGACATGGGGCGATGTCTACAACTTTGGAATCTTTTTATTGAAAATGTTCGCGGTAGAGAGATCTACTGACGACATGTTTGGAGATAGATCGAACCTTAATAACTATGTTATGGCAGCTTTTCTTGACCAAGTAGCAGAGATTATGGATCCAATACTTGTTGAGGAGATCAACTTAGAGGAAGAGATCACAAGTACTGCCCATGACAGTAGTACTAGTACTAGTAGTAGAAGACATCAACGCCTCGATAGTAGAATTCAAAAGGATCATCACAAGTGATTGATTTCAGTGTTTGGAGTTGGTGTTGCTTGTTCAAAACACTCCCCAGGAGATCAAATGAACATTAGTGATGCTATATTTGAGTTGTACTCCATCAAGGATGCTATTCTTTAATCTTGAATATGACAAGATAGCAGGGTAGTTGATTCTCAACAAAATATATATAATTACATATGTCTTTGTGCGCACNAGTGTTTGGAGTTGGTGTTGCTTGTTCAAAACACTCCCCAGGAGATCAAATGAACATTAGTGATGCTATATTTGAGTTGTACTCCATCAAGGATGCTATTCTTTAATATTGAATATGACAAGATAGCAGGGTAGTTGATTCTCAACAAAATATATATAATTACATATGTCTTTGTGCGCACACACTGAAATATATAAGGCCGGATTTAAGTCAAGGAATTAGTCTCTTCAAGTGCGTACATCTACCCCTCTTTTGTGGTTTTTGAAAGAAAAATTATATATATATAGTAATTGCCCGTGCCTGAAGGCATAGAGTAACAAAAAAAAAATTGTGGCTNACATATGTCTTTGTGCGCACACACTGAAATATATAAGGCCGGATTTAAGTCAAGGAATTAGTCTCTTCAAGTGCGTACATCTACCCCTCTTTTGTGGTTTTTGAAAGAAAAATTATATATATATAGTAATTACCCATGCCTGAAGGTATAGAGTAACAAAAAAAAAATTTGTGGTTAATTAAAAAGTATACCAAATCAAAATAATTGGTGTAACACATAATAGTAACTGTTCAACAATACTACTATTAACAATATATTACATATAGTTATGACTATATATGTGAATATCAAACCAAAATAACTGGTTTAACACATAAAATCTTAGTAGTTAATATAAACAACTTTTATCTTTAAAAAAATTTTGATAGAATTCTCCTTGAAAATATGATCTAATTGACAATATTAACCTGTGTGTACAACTCATAATCAAACCTTTCTGTAAATAAATACTATCTTAAATCAATAATGTTATGACATCACGCTAATATCACTATTACCATTGTTTATCAACTGCTACAATTTAATATTCCAAAACATCTAATACAAAATAAATAAGCTNCCAAATGGAAAGTCGAGAATCATGCTGATTAAGCTCTCATCTTCAACAAATTCAACAAAGTCAACACCAAAATCAAAGATCGAGAAACATGCTGATTTGAACCTCGTCATCAGCATATCCATTGAGAATCATAGAAAAATGCATGTGAAAAACACGCGGAAGAGAGTCGGTACCACTTTATTAAATCAAGTCAAATCATAAACAATTATAATTTTGATATTACTTTTGTGTTAATATTACACAACGAAATTTTATCGTTACAACATGATAATCCAACCATAACTAAGGAAACAAATTTCTCAAATACCTATACTCTTCCAACATTTTTGTGTCTTCTCAGCTTGTATCTAATATCCGTCCCTGTCATTACCAATTTGGATGATGAAAATAAAATTTATGAATAAAATTTTAATATTAAAATAAGAAGTNAAGCCAAATAACATGTAAAATTAATATATTGTGCCTCCTAGTTAATTGTTATGCCTAAAGGTACTTGATAACACAAAAAAAAAAAAATTAATTAAAATCCACTAATTATTAATTAAAATCATTAATTAATTGAGAAGATTGATTTTTAATTTTGGAAGTTTGAAATCATCTCTATCTTATTAGTATAGATGAGATAGAGAGAGAAAGAGAGTTAAATAAGAGATAGGAGTCTTAAAAAATTTTGACATGAGAACCGTCGGATTAATAATCATCAAGAGATCTGAGCTTCGAAAAACTAAAGATAAAGAAATTTAGCTATTTTATTATATATATGATCAAGGCAAGGGTCATTTCCTAAATTACTATTACTACTATATTAATATGATCTACAAAATAAAAGGGTTAAATTTATATTACTTATTATGATCGATTTGAGATTGATAAAAAAAATTTAAGAGTACAATTTCTATGGTTACATTGAATTGTAACTTGAAGGTTTTGCGCCANGTACTCGTCATATAGGATCATGGCATTTCAGTACGAGTTACAACCAACACGTAACCTCGGTCTGATATGGTACCTCGGTCGGTATACCTCCCTCGGTGCCGAGAGGTACCCCGCTNTAAAGAAGCCTCCCGTGAACCTACTACATACATATTACTACTATTTTGCACGAAGGGAAGTACTTGGTGTTCAGTTATGATACTATCTTCTTTTGGAAGTTTCCAGAGATATGTGTGTATTGGGTAAAGAATGAAGGGAAATAAAATTGCTTTTTAGTATTATATATCAAAAATTACATTATTATTTTTTATTTATAATTACAAATCATTCAATTTAAAATTAATGGCTAAGGTGGATGATGGAACAATCTGAAGTTACTACCGCAGCTTTGCGCAGTAATTTATGATTAATTGTCTTCGTGTTGAACTCTTCAATTTTAAATTAAATTAAAATTGACTTAAATTTCATAGGCCCAAAATTAAACAAATTTTTAAAACTAAAGTAAGTTGAACTTAAATTTTATAAATTAACTAAATCCCACAAATTTATGGATAGTCCATTACCTGAAGAGTATTCAGGTAAAAATACTCTTATATAGATAACTTTTTCTAGCACTATAAATAAAGGTCATGAGAGGCCAACGAAGGGGGCCAAGAAGAGGAAGCCAAAAGTGGAAGCTAAGCAAGAGGAGGAAAGAAAGATCAAGAAATCTCTGCTCTACCTCCACCTGAAATCTTGTAAATTCATCTTTATCCAACAAATTCACCAAATCAAAAATCGAAAAATGAAAATCACGTCAATTCGACTCTCGTCTTCAACAAATCCATGAAAATATCCCCAAATTGAAGACAGAAAACACACTAATCAAGCCTCTATCTTCAACAAATCCATCAAAGCATCACCAAATGGAAAGTCGAGAATCATGCTGATTAAGCTCTCATCTTCAACAAATTCAACAAAGTCAACACCAAAATCAAAGATCGAGAAACATGCTGATTTGAACCTCGTCATCAGCATATCCATTGAGAATCATAGAAAAATGCATGTGAAAAACACGCGGAAGAGAGTCGGTACCACTTTATTAAATCAAGTCAAATCATAAACAATTATAATTTTGATATTACTTTTGTGTTAATATTACACAACGAAATTTTATCGTTACAACATGATAATCCAACCATAACTAAGGAAACAAATTTCTCAAATACCTATACTCTTCCAACATTTTTGTGTCTTCTCAGCTTGTATCTAATATCCGTCCCTGTCATTACCAATTTGGATGATGAAAATAAAATTTATGAATAAAATTTTAATATTAAAATAAGAAGTTTTCCAATATTCATTTTCAAAATATAGACTTGATTTAATCCAAGCTTATAGTTTGCCACTGATCACTTGCATCCTAGTTTACGTTCCTTCATAAGACATTGATGGGACTTTTCTGAAATACTCCATGATGAAGACACGTGTCCTCGGTATTTACCAAAACACTGTTACTAAGATCAAGCACCATCGGCGCATAAAGGTCCTCGCCCCCAAGGTACTCGTCATATAGGATCATGGCATTTCAGTACGAGTTACAACCAACACGTAACCTCGGTCTGATATGGTACCTCGGTCGGTATACCTCCCTCGGTTCCGAGATGAGCCTTTCCTCGGTGCCGAGAGGTACCCCGTCCTGGACGCTTCCTCTACTCCAGGATAAGCTATTGACGTACAGGTCATTAGCCTAGGCTAGTCTAGGCTATTCATCATGACCTCGTCTTACACAATTAGTGTCAGAACGTACTGGAATGCAGGGGCCACAGCCAATGGGGGATGGACGCGTGGCATATGATATCACATCGAAGACAGAGAAACCGCATGCCGTTGCTGACACGCGACTTGGGAAAGCAAACGATTAATTACACCATTCCCTTGATGAGACCGCATTCAATGCGGTAAGGCTCGGAAATGAAAGACAATAAATGCTCCTAATACAGAGCATTTATTGCATCCTCCCCGAGAGGAGTACATTGTACCGTCGGCATCCCGATGACCCAGCATTGATTGCTCGGGACCCCGAGCAGTTAAGAAGAGAAGACATTCCTCATCAGAATCAGTGCGCACACTGCCTGTACCTAATGATCACCTACTGACTACACTGACAGCAATCATGAGCTTTTGAGGTATAAATACTCCTTGCAAAAGGCAAGACGGGTATGCAACAAAAAACTCTTTACTACAATACACACTCAGTGTTTTCTCCTTCCTCTCTCTTTCTCAAAGACTGACTAGATCGTCGGAGGGGATACGCCGGAAAACACTCCGGCGCCCTTCTAACTTGTTCTTCTTTGTTCCAGGAACCTCTTTCAGCCTTACTGGATCGTTCTTCCGCTCCCCCAGGGTCTCCCGTTGCCGTTCCAGGTTACCACCGGACCTCGCAGGCTGTTCCAAGCAGCGTGGTTGGTCACTCAACTGGCTCACTCGAGTTCACCAAGGGAGAGATCTGTTCTCGTTTTTTATATTGTGCAGGATCTTGCACGCACAATCTGGCGCCGTCTGTGGGAAACGACTAGTTTTCCTAGTTTTTTCTCTATAAAGAACAGTGACCATGGTGAACACTCGACAGAAAGGGAAAGGCCCCCACCAAAGGAGTCTCGAGTTACAAGCTCCCTGTCATCACGGAGGAAGGGATCACACCGATATGAATAAAAGTGCCTCTACTCGGTCAAGAGGGGTTACCCCTCAAACCAGTATGGGAATCAGGTCAGGGGGATCAGCCCCCTTGGCTCGTCAGCTGGCGGAGGTGATTGAAGAAAAGTTTGGCGATAGATTACGACAGCTGGAAAAGGACAATGTAAACGTCCTAAGCCGGCTCAACGAGTTTGCCGCCTCTGGCGAAGGGTCGAGGGATTCATTCCTTTCTTGTGGGCTTCCCGCCCGGGAGGCGGAAACGAAGGACCTAAGAAACCACCTAAACAACAAAGCAGAAAGCTCTAGGGCCCCAAAGCGACCCAGAGCCGGCGAGCATCATCATGACAACCATTCAAGGAAAGCAAGGCCATTGGCCCTGGACGACCTCCGGCGAGGTTTGTCTAGACGGAGGAAGGGAG